TCCTAAAGGCAGTGGCCATTACTGAACTGACTTAAAGGAGGCTTCATGATGTCCTGGAGGATGTTGAAACACACACTCTCATTTTCCAGGAGAATTAGCTGCCTTAATAGCATCAAAACCTTTTCCCAAATTGAACCTGTCTCTGGGAAATTGATTTCTAGAAGTTTCCTTGCAGCCAGCTGCCAGCTGATCTCTAGTTAGTGGAGCTATCATGTCCCAACTTGCCCACCTTGGTGGGTGGGTCTCTGGGAGACTGAGAAACTTTTATGGAGCCTTCTCTGCTGTCTGTTCAGTTTGAGAACAGCCAGACCTTGTGCTGAAACTCACTACCCAACCTGCAGGAAACTTGCAGCCTGCACCATGGGTTCCTTTGGCGCCTCCACGTCTGTGCCACACGGGAATGCATGTCCCTCCAGCCACCCTCAGACTATGTCGTTCCCCTTGTCTCACAGCACTGAGCTTGCCTACCCCAGAGCCCCTGCCCACCTCCATAGTTCTTCTAGGTCCCACAGCCTATCTGCTGCTCCCTTGTGCCCTCCTCAGGGTGCCCCGAAGTGAATCACTTCACAAATGCAGCGCTCATCCTTGACTTTCCTTCACGTTCCCTTTGCTAGTTTCTTTAACCCAGACCTGCCAGCCTATTCTCATGGATGCTGCTTACAATCAGGGCACAAAGGTCACCACACAGTCCTGGATTCGCGCTAGTTTCCACCATCAGAACCAGGACAGGTCCTGTTGGTTAACCTGATTCTCACCCACCCACCTGCAACAGGAAGAGCCAAGACCAGGAGATAGCAACCGTACTTGCCACATAGGTCCTCGGGTGTACCCCATCCCACTGTGGCCACAACTCCATCCTTAGATGTACTCACTTCACCCAATCTCCTGGACACATCCAGCTATGGGACTTCCTTCCCTGATTCTTAATGGGTACTACACCCCATCTCCTTCTCCATCTCTCTATTTTGTGTCCCCCAGGATTACAATCAAGGTCCTGGGAGGATAGTACATCTATTTTGAGACCAACCTTCCCCCCTGTGACTTCAGGAATTGCCCTCGTACTCCTCTGGCCTTGGATTCCAAATGTTCAAATTAAACTGGTTTGTTGTAGAACATTATTTTAAGGTGTGTTACTTTTGTTTATGTTGCATTTTTTTAACTCTGTGAAGCTGGGATACTTTGCCTGTCTGAAACACCTGATGATCTAATAAAGAACTGAGCAGTCAATAGCAAGGTAGGAGAAAGGAGAGGTGAGGTTGGCAGGCAGAGAGAAGATACAGAAGGAGAAATCTGAGAAGACAGAATTAAAATAAAGAAGTACCCAGAGAAGGAGGAGGACTCCAGGGGCCAGTCACCCAGCTACACAGCAAGCCATGGAGTAAGAGTAAGATTTACAGAAGTAATAGAACAGGGAAAGCCCAGAAGCAAGAGATAGACGGGCTAATTTAAAGTTAAAGAAAGCTGGCAAGAAACAAGCCAAGCTAAGGCTGGGCATTCATAATTAAGTATAACCCTCCATATGTGATTTATTTGGAAGCTGGGTGCTGGGCCCTCCAAAAGAACAAAATACAAACAACATTTTGGCATGCCTACATATCACTAGAATTTTCATAGTGCCTGAGAAAGCTTTAAACAAAAAGGATAAGACTCCTTTAAGAGTTTCTGATTGCCCAGTCCCATGGGGGCTCCATAGCCACCAGTCCACAGTTCATGGGCTTCCACTAGTGTGGCTGGTCATCTCTACATGTCCTCCCATCATGATCTTGATGTCCCTCGCCTGCAGTATCTCTCCTCTCTCTCACCAGTTAGATTCCCAGAGCTCAGCCTGGTGCCTGGCCATGGATCTCTGTATCTGCCTCTATCAGTCACTGGACAAAGGCTCTATGATGACAGCTAGGTTATTTGCTAGGCTGCTCACCAGAGTAGACTGGTCCTGGCAGACAGTTTTTGGTTTGAACTGTTTTGGGGGCACCCAGGCAGGGGAATTGGGATCTGTCCCTGGTCTATGGGCAGGCTTCTGGAATCCGGTGCCTGTGGTGCGACACCTTGCACAGCCTTGGTGCAGTGGGAAGGGGCTTAGTGTGCTGGGCTCTGCTGACTCCCCATGGGAGACCTCGATTTGGGGGATGTGGGGATGCGGGGTGGCTTGGGAGAGAGGGCTGGGGGTGGGTGGAGGGGGGGTCTGTGGATGGTATGTGGAGTGAATAGAAAATTTCTTAATAAAGAAAAATGAAAAAAGAGTTTCTGATTGCTAAGGTGAGCCCTTGAGCAGCCAGTACATTAAGTAGGAACAAAAATCTAAGTAAAAACGCCAGCCACAGAGCAAGCATCGGCATTCTAGAGCTCAACAGTTCCTGGTCAGACAAACCTCCAACCAGCTGCGAGTTTCGTGTCTGGTTTTCATGACCTGAGAAGTGGGCAGAGCCAGCTGAGAGCTGAGTGTGGAAGAACTAGGTGTAGGTTAGCAGTTTAAAGATATGCAATAATGGCCAGGCGGTGGTGGCGCACGCCTTTAATCCCAGCACTCGGGAGGCAGAGCCAGGCGGATCTCTGTGAGTTCGAGGCCAGCCTGGTCTACAGAGTGAGATCCAGGAAAGGCGCAAAGCTACACAGAGAAACCCTGTCTCGAAAAACCAAAAAAAAAAAAAAAAGATATGCAATAAAAGAGGTCCAGATGGAAAAATCTCTATTGTATATAGTTTTACTTTTGTTTAAAGGATTTTTATGAATTGATAAAAATTTAAGGTTATTTTGTTACAATATATTGTATATATGTTCCTATTCTTGGTTTAGGTATTGTACCCATATAGTTTATTTAAAAAATATAAGATAAAATTCTATTTTTGAAGGGTGTTATTATAAACTATAATAGGATAATCATGAAACATAGGTCAGTAGTTAGTCATTTATAATAATCAAACGTATAGCTATGTTAGGTATGTTTTCTAGGTTAAATAGATATATTTTAGATAGATGGTTTTCAAATACTTCAAGAACCTATAGAATATGGCATTTAAAATCTTTTGTTAACAAAGTTGACAATGAGACACATCTGGCCCCAGCAGCACCAATTTACTTCAGAGATGATGGGCATTGAAGAAACTCCTTATGCAGTTTGCTTTCACTGTGGCAAGATTAGCCACTGGGCAAAGAAACTGCTCTTGCCTTTGACTGCTGATGATGTGCTGTGCAGACTGGACATGCAGAGCACACAGAAGAAAGACTGATGAACTTTGCCAAAACAAGGCAGGACAGTCCAAAATTCCTGCTTTATAGAAGAGTCTGCCAGATATTCTGCAGGACACACAGGAAAGTAACTGATGAATTTTGTCAACAGAGCAGGACAGTCTTCAAATTTCCTGCTTCATTGAAAAGTCTGCCAGATACTACAGGCATTAGCCACTGGGCAAGAAACTGCTCTTGCCATTGACTGCCAACAATGTGCTGTGCAGGCTGTAGGCTGCAGATGGATGACCCAGTGTTGCAGAGGAACTTTGGGTGACTGTCCAGACAGCCAAAAGTCTAGGTTGTTAGATAATATTATAGCCTTCTTGGTCTTTAATGGAGTTGAAGACTAGATAGTTATAGTTGCAATTTTCCTTAGATACGATAAAAAGTAACTTAGGTATAAAACATTGGAGTCACTAAGATAGAATGGATAATGTATTATTTTCTCAATATGCTAAATACAAATGGACTGAATAGTGTGTATGTAATTCTTGATAATTTTTTGTTATGTATAGTTTTACTATGTTAAAGTTAAAACCTTTATATTTGTTTAGACAAAAAGAGGGAAATGTAGTAGAGTATTATTTTAAGGTGTGTTACTTTTGTTTATTTTGCATTTGTTTAACTCTGTGAAGCTGTGATCCTGTGCCTGTGTACAACACCTGATGGTCTAATAAAGAACTGGCCTAGCAAAGCAGGAGAAAAGTTGGACGGGCTGGTAGGCAGAAAGAATATATAGAAGGAGAAATCTGAGATTAAAGTGGAGGTAGCCAGAGAAAAAGGAGGACATGAGGGACCAGCCACCTAATTACACAGCAAGCCATGGAGTAAGAGTAAGATTTATAGAAGTATGAGAATGGGAAAAGTCCAAAGGCAAAAGGTAGATGGGCTAATTTAAAATTAAGGAAAGCTGGCAAGAAACAAGCTAAGCTAAGGCTGGGCATTCAAAATTAAGTATAAGCATCCGTGTATGATTTATTTGGGAGCTGGGTGGCGGCCCACTCCCAAAAGAGCAAAAAACAAACATTGGCTTCCCAGCCACCTCTTTAGACATGGCCTAGAAAGGTAGTGATGCTATCGTCAACACATGGAATGTGTGTCAAGGAGTGTGAACAAATATGAATTCGTACTGGTGTGTGTGCGTGTGTGTGTGTGTGTGTGTGTGTGTGTGTGTGTGTGTGTGTTTGTGTTCATGCTAATGTGTGTGGGGGTGGGGAAGCAATTAATTACACTAGTGAGCCAACATTGCAGATCTTACTCTGTCCCAGAACCCCTAAGCCATTATACTCATACATTCTTTGAGGTGGGGGCATGATCCCCACAATATATACTCATTTAAAGGAGGTAGGCCATAGCTTCATCTGTACTCAAACTTCCCGATGATGGGGGGACATGAACTAAATTTTTTTTAATTCCTCAAGGATTAGATCCAGGGTAGAGGGTATGGATCCATCAATAGGGTAAGAGGTGTGAACCCCTCTAAATATAGGACCCCAGACTGCATCCACATGTGCAATATAGACATCTCAAATCCTGATCACCTACACTAGACACTTCCTCTCCATGTCCCCTCTTCATTATGCACCCAAACACAAGTGCACATGTTTTCCAGTTAAGACCTGGTAGGAGAATGAGTTCCTTTCCCTGCTGCTCACAGGAACCAGGAGTGCTGTCTGTCTTTCAGCTGAAGTTACTGGTGGGCTCCCTGTTCACCCCTCAGCTGACACATGGCCCTTCCAATTGGTCTGTTGACCTTTTGCAGGTGCAGAGGGATGAGAGGGGAGAACATCACCAAGGTGAGCACATTCATCCTGCTGGGCTTCCCCACAGCCCCCAGGCTGCAGTTCCTGCTCTTCTTCCTCTTCCTGCTCATCTACCTCTTTGTGCTGGTGGAGAACCTGGCCATCATCCTCACTGTCTGGAGCAGCACCTCTCTCCACAGGCCCATGTACTACTTCCTGGGCATCATGTCCACCTTGGAGATCTGGTATGTTTGTGACATCATCCCCAAGATGCTGGACAGCTTCCTCCTGCAGAGGAAGCACATCTCTTTTGCTGGTTGCATGACTCAGCTCTATTTCTTCAGCTCCCTGGTGTGCACAGAGTGTGTACTCCTGGCTTCCATGGCCTATGACCGCTATGTGGCCATCTGCCATCCCCTGCGCTACCAAGTCATCATGACCACGGGGCTCTGTGTCCAGCTCGTGGTCTTCTCTTTTGCTAGTGGCTTCACCATCTCTGTGATCAAGGTCTACTTTATCTCCAGTGCCACCTTCTGTGGCTCCAATGTCTTGAACCACTTCTTCTGTGACATCTCCCCTGTCCTCAAGCTGGCCTGCTCTGACTTCTCTACTGCAGAGCTGGTGGACTTCATCCTGGCCTTCATCATTCTGGTGTTCCCTCTCCTGGCCACCATTCTGTCCTATGGACACATCACCCTGGCTGTGCTTCGGATCCCTTCAGCCACAGGACGGTGGAGGGCCTTCTCCACCTGTGCCTCCCACCTCACTGTGGTCACTATCTTCTACACAGCCTTGTTTTTTATGTATGTTAGGACCCAGGCCATCGATTCCCGGAGCTCAAACAAGCTCATCTCTGTTCTGTACACGGTCCTCACACCTATCTTGAACCCCTTGATCTACTGTCTGAGGAACAATGAGTTCAAAGATGCCTTAAGAAAAGCCTTGGGCTTGAGTCAAGCTCCATCATAGGAGGGAGGGCCCCTTCTGATTCCACAACATCTGATGAGCATGCATCCTTGGGGATGAGGACATGGGAACACTTGGCATTGCTGGTGTGCTGAAGGTATTTAGAGCATTGCTTTCTTCCTTTGTGAAGTAGACATAATGGGCACTATTTGTGTAGTGATAACATTCTATCACCTTTTATATATGCAGAACAGGACTTGGTAAAATTGAATGCATTTCCATCCCTTTAAAATTATCATCCACATTTCAGAAGACAGTAAGCCCTGCTCAGCCAGGAAGGTGATGTCTATAGTCTTAGTAGTCTTTAGTATGTGGAAGTGTGAAAATACAGAAACATGGGGAAATGAGACCCAAGAGTCTCCAAAGCACAATGTGTCTGGGAACTGGGAGAGTCCACACTAGTTTTAACTCACAGAGCATTGTAGCTAGAGTTTTCCTGCCTGGCCCACGGTCAGGGCAAATCTCTCTCACCTGCCAGTCCCACAGCCGCTCAGACCCAACCAAGTAAACACAGAGACTTATACTGCTTACAAACTGTATGGCCGTGGCAGGCTTCTTGCTAACTGTTCTTACAGCTTAAATTAATCCATTTCTATGAATCTATACCTTGCCACGTGGCTCATGGCTTACCAGCATCTTCACATGCTGTTTGTCATCGTGGCAGCTGGCAGTGTCTCTCACTCAGCCTTCCACTTCCCAGCTTTATTCTCCTCCTTGACCTGCCTATACTTCCTGCCTGGCCACTGGCCAATCAGTGATTTATTTATTGACCAATCAGCAACACATTTGCCACACAGAACATCCCACAGCAGGGCATGCTCTGGGGAACAATCTTCAGCCTTTTCTTTTCTTATAGTCTCTCTGCTGCTGAGAAAAGTCTATCTAATGCTTGTATTGATCCCAGTTGACAATCAGATGGGGACTATGTCTTCCAACTGTTATTGGTTCCTTAAAAAACCACAATGGCTTCTGTCTCTTAACCAACCAGGAGACAGGCTGGTTGTGGTGGCTTATAGCATGTGAAGATTAAGCATATGCAGTTTCTTGGGACAAGAAGATAGAAAGAAATCCCACAGGAGGGGGGTGAGAAGAACCTAGGTGGTGTGGCTCCCACAATTTAAAGCAGGAGTTAGTGTGGTTTGCATTGAAAAGTAAAGAAGAGGAAAGGAAGTCCAGATAACCCCAGCAGCAGCAAAACTCAGAGGCAGGAAGCAGCTGGAAAGGTGCAGAGCACAGAGATGCTGATAGGTTTAGTTTAGTGTTTGCATATGAGGGAGATGTTGGGGGCAGAGTCCCCAGCATGCACAAGGCTGGCCACTGAAGATTGGAAATTCCTACCTAGGCCTACTTGCAGCTGTGTAATGGATGAAAAGGGACCCTCTGGGAAGTGGAGAGACTGTGCAGGAGGTGTTGGCCTGTTCTGGAGGCGATGAGCAGCCCTGAGACTGAGCAGTGAACACATGGGTGGGATGGGTTTTCCAGGGTTCAAGTGAGCATTGGGGTTATGGTGGGGAAAGCAGAGAACAGGATATGCTTCTTGGAAAATTGTGTCTATTAAATATTTATCCTTTTTATTGTTGCTATGGTAACAAAAGTCATGCTAAGAAGCTCATCTCTGCTGTGTACACTGTCCTCACACTCATCTTCAATAAATCAAGGTTTATCCATCCTGTACACTTTTAATAAAATATATAGAATGATTATATCCCTGCTGCCACTTCTAGTTGCCTTTTCTATTTCTTTAGTAAACTATGCAGACAAATCAACTTATCAAGGAGGGTTTATTTGGCTCCCAGTTGAAGTTTATAGTCTGTTCTGATCGAGGAGTCCCAGTGGCAGGAACTTGAGGCAGCTGGTCACATTGCACTAGCAGTCAAAATATAAAAAAACAAACACTTGTGCTCAGCAAGCTTTCTCCTCTTCATACAGTCCAGGACCAAAGCCTAGGGAATGGAGCTGTCCACTTTTAGTGTGGCTCACCTCAATAAACTAATCAACATAGTCGCTCATACCCATGTGCAGAGGTTAAATGTTTCCTCACAGGTGTGCTTGGAGGCTCTTTCCCCAGACATTCCAAGTCCTTGATGCTAAACATCAAATATCACATTATCAAAATCAATCCACACACTTAATACAATCCCAATCAAAATTCCAATACCATTCTGTTGTAGAATATTATTTTAAGGATGTGTTACTTTTGTTTATGTTGAACTTGTTTAAATCTGTGAAGCTGTGTTACTTTGCCTGTCTAAAACACCTGATGGTCTAATAAAGAACTGAACGGTCAATAGCAAGGCAGGAGAAAGGAGAGGCAGGACAGGCAGGCAGAGAGAATATATAGAAGGAGAAATCTGTGAGGAAAAATGGAGTATCCAGAGATGGAGGAAGATCTCAGAGGCCAGGTGCCAAGCTACACAGCCAGACATGGAGTAAGAAATAATGACAGATATATAGAAATAGAGAAAGGTAAAAGCCATGAGGCAAATGATAGACAGGTAAGGAAAGCTGGCTAAAAACAACCCAAGCTAAGGCTGGGCATTTATAAGTAAAAATTTGACACCATGTGTGATTTATTTGGGAGGTGGCTGGTGGCCCTCCCAAAGAGTAAAGAGCCAAAAAACAACCAACAACATTTTGGCATCTACCATGGGGCTAGAATAAAAGAAAAAAAACAACCAACACCATTCTTGACTGAGATAGAAAATAATCTTAAAATTCTTATGGAAAAACATGAAGACCCCATGGAATAGGAAGAAGCAAAGTGCTAGAGAGATCCCCAGAATTCACAAAGATACCTCCACAATAGACTACTGGCAATGGTCGAGAGAACGTCCAAACTGACCTACTCTGGTGTTAGGATGGCCAAACACCCTAACCATTGTGCTGGAACTCTCATCCAATGACTGATGGAAGCAGATGCAGAGATCCACAGCCAGGCCCTAGGTGGAGCTCTGGGAGTCCAATCAGGGAGAAAGAGGAGGGATTATATGAACAAGAAGTGTTGAGACCATGATTGGAAAAAGCACAGGGACAAATAGCCAAACTATTGGAAACATATGAACTATGAACCAATAGCTGAGGAGCACCCAACTGGATCAGGCCCTCTGGATAAGTGAGACAGTTGATTAGCTTGAACTGTTTGGGAGACCCCCAGGCAGTGGGACCAGGACCTGTCCTTAGTGCATGAGCTGGCTGTTTGGAGCCTGGGGCCTATGCAAGGACACTTTGCTCAGCCTGGGTAAAGGCAGGGGGGGACTGGACCTGCCTCGACTGAATCTACCAGGCTGAGCTGAATCCCCAGGGGAGTCCTTGCCCTGGATGAGATGTGAATAGGGGGTGGGCTGGAGGGAGGGTGGGGGGCAGGAGAAGGGAAGACAGGGGAATCCGTGGCTGATATGTAAAATTAAATTAAATTATAAAATAAAATAAATAAATAAAATTCTAAAAAAACCCTTCATGTATATGTATATGTATATATATAATATATATGTATATTGGGGAAAAGATATCATCAACAAATGGTGCAGGGGTTCTGGTAAAATGAATATTTACATATAGAAGAATTAGGTTAGATCTCTGTATCTTACCCTACACAAAAATTAACTCCAAATGGAGCAAAGATCCTAACTTAAGACCCCAAACTCTGAAACTATTAAGTAAGAATAAGCCTCCATGTGTGAATTATTTTAGAGCTGGCACAAAAATGGACACACAAATCCATGGACCAGTAGGAAGAACCATGCCAAAAATATACACTGGAGCCCAGCAGTGGTGGCACACACCTTTAATCCCAACACTCAGGAAGCAGGGACAGGTGGATCTCTGTGGGTTTGAGGCCAAGCCTAGTCTACAGAGCAAGTTCCAGGACAGGCTCCAAAGCTACACAGAGAAACACTGTCTTGAGAAAAACAAAAGCAAAATATCTATATATAGGAGACTAGATATCTTCAACAAATTTTGCTGGGAAAACTGGATATTTGCATGTAGAACAATGAGGTTAGATCTCTATATCTTACCCTACACAAAAATTCACTCCAAATGGATTAAAGGTCTCAAGACCCAAAACTCTGAGATTATTAGAGGAAAATGCTGGAAAAACACCTGAAGATAAAGTTCTAGACCAGGATTTCTCAACAGAACTCTAGTTTATCAAGAAATAAAGACCATTGACCAGTGGGTCTTCGTGAAATTTTCTATACAGCAACTGAGAGGACTGAGAGCAGGCAGGGTGCAAGGATATCTGCAAGCTACACATCTGACAGGGAATTGATACCTAGGTACACAAAGAACTAAATAATCTCAACAAGAAATCAAACACCCAATGAGTCAATGGGGAATGAAATGAACAGACAGGTCTCAAAATGTTACACATACATGGCTGTGAACGTATGGACAAGTGTTCAATGTCACCAACTATCACAGAAACATAAGAAGTGAGACTGGCCTTGCCTTTCCCTCCACCTCTTTCCATCTTAGGCATCTCTTTAAAAGCTGTCACCTACTCTGAGGAAGAGACTCCCTGCTTAGATAATCCTATCTCCAGATGCCTTCAGAAAACAGCCCAGAGATGTGTTTCTTGATTAAATACACATCCCACCAGGTTGACAATCATGGTTTGGGGCATGTAAAATATAAGCAGTGCACAGTCACTAAAATGGGCTGGAAATCATCCAATACACATCTTTGTCTTTGTCCTAGCTCTGAAATCTGTGAATTGTACCTCATTTGGAAAAAGGCTGTGGATTATCTGGTTGTCTTCACATCCAATGTTGAGGATCCTTACAACAGGAATATGAGCAGATTTGAGACACAAAGAGGAAGAAATGAACATAAGGAGGAACAAGGCTTCCAAAGGCCCAGGGTCCAGAAGCCACCAGAGATGGGGGAGGAAGAAAGAGACTCCTAATCCAGAAGACCATGAAGACTAAAGGAAGTTTTGGAAAAAGAGAAGACAAATGTGAGGAGAACGATCCATAGGGAATAGGTGGTCCAAAACCTTCCAT